GCCACGCAAATTACCGTTGAAATCGCCACCAATATGCCGTGCTGTTTCGGAGAATACTACAAACAAATCTACACTCTGCAAGCCTACGCTAAATATGGTCTCGAAGCCAATGAGGTCCTGGTATGTTATGGGGAGGGTCGAACTGATTTGGAGGACACCCTAGAAGCACTTTCTAATATCAATGATTTTATGAAGGTGCCTATTGACATTAAGGATGAAAGTGTTGTATGTTGCGGCGATGCACTCAGTGAACCTAGCTGGAAACTAAAGCAGAACATCGAGATCCAACTTGACCATTGTAGAATCCACAATTGGCTTAGAAGGTGTAAAGAAGAAAAGATTCACTTCTGCCAGAATATACACTACCCAGCGATCGAAATCATTGGGGCCGAAGTACCATACAAACAGCAGGTTAAAGCATGCATTGACATTCTAATTCTATTTCATAATATCTCCGCCAAGACCCTTCGTATTTCTAATGTTCGCAGTAACAATCAAACCACCTCGAGGTTTAGTATGGCTACTCTAAAGTCTAATGCGGCCAAATACACTAAGTGGAACCTCAAGGTCGAAACTTTAGTGCTAGATAATGTCGATGACCAGATCATTTACTGGATGCTAGGTCACTACGACTTTACTGAACGCACCGAAGTGCATATTCTAAACGCAGGGTTCTCTAACCTTGCTATCACTCAAGTTCTTTCTCTTCCAGTAGGCCGCCAGATTGCAACGATCTTGATCAATGACTTCCTCGGACTAAATGAGGTTAAATATTTCGTCCAACGCGAACAAATCAAAGGCTTCTCACTATTCAAATACGTTGCAGACAATCCAGCGAAAGATCTTGGCCTGAACAAACTATCTTTACTGCTAAATGATATTGAACTAGGTTTATACAGTGCGATTTTGCGAGAGTTTGTGGGCTATGGCCTTCATATTCCGGCCATGCCTTTCAAGAATTACATCAAACTTGCACCTACTAACCCCGGCCCAGCTGATATAGCAAACAAAAAGAGGTTGATTCTTTACAACGCCACTCTCGAGGCCATAAAGTCCGATTTTGTCATCTGCCAAGCCACGAAAGACAGCGTTCAGCTGAATTCCATTGCCAATCTGCTTGTGCGTTTCAGCGATAGGCAGACATTAACTGAAGCGTGTGTGGCGACTATTATCCGATGGGCAGCTTGTCGATTTACAAATCTATCTACTTTGCGGCTGATAAATACTGAGATGCCAGAGAGCGAGCAGAATAATATAACCGCCCGTGACTATTTAATCCGTAAGCTAGATTTACTCAATAGCATTACAATCGAATCAATCGACCCAAACACTCCGCCAATCGAACTACTAAGTCGTCCACTTCGCATCAGCTCTGTAAGCAATGCATCTAACACGACACCCATCTCTATTCTCATGTCATCTGCCTTGGCGTCCCAACTGGCTTGTCATCCCGATCAGCTTGATAGTCTTACATCCAGCAGCCATAGCACGGTTATCTCATACCAAAAGGTTATCGAAGACCTCAAACAATCCAAGCAAGACAACAACTTCGTTTGCCCGGCCTGCAGGGATGTTCTTAACTTACCCGAGGCGGCAAAGGAACCAAAGCTAGTTCCCAAAGAGACGTTTGCAACAATTTACTATCTCACGTGTGGCCACAAGCTCTGCAATGGCTGTGTAAAACAAGTTGACCGGAACAAAGGCTGCGTAACTTGTAGAAGAGCCGATGCCTATGAAGCCATGCACCAACTTATCAGTGCTCCGCTATCTAATTTTGTGTTTGTTAAGGATAGTGTGAACACCTCCGCCGAAGAACCCGAATGGCATAACACCCTGAAATGGCATGATGACCAAGTCTACATGTACATCACATTTAGGCACACGATCGACTTTGTTGCAGCGATCGACAAGATGCTAGCCTATAACCTTCCCAGCCAAATACATGTTATTTGAGCACGTCTAATCTAGCATTAACCCAATAAAGGCCAATCCGATATTATTTGTAAACTATCTCGTTTCCAGTATGCCACTATTATACGAAGTACAATCGACCGCCGCTTCCATGACAAAGAGCGAGGTTTTGCCAGCCGCCACATTCAGTTAAGAATGCCACAAAATAACGAGATTGTGCATGCACTGGGACTAGGTGGCATTGGGTTGTAGTGATCTCCATTGAATAGATACATTCTATCGAGCACCAAGTAGGCAATCAAAGTCTTTTCTAGACATTGAATCATTGCTTTTATTCCTATCAACGCATTAGCTAAAGACTGTAGCGTAGCATCGTGTTGGGTTGGGTTAGTGTAGTATCCAATACGAAGTCCATCTTAACCAAGACATACTCTATTAAAGACATTCCTTGAGATAAGTGTGGGCACCATTTATTGAGTAAATACAGTTGAGTGAGTATGACGTCATATTGGGTTGGTATTAGTATTAGTGTTAGTATTAGTAAGTAGTGCGTAGTGAGTAGTGAGTAGTGAGTGTCTTACCAGTAATCAACTTTATCGTATTAGTATTGTGGTAGTGGTCGTATGGCAGCACTACAATTAGTTGTTGGCGGATGGACAGCCCATACAACCTGATATACCTGCAAATATCAAGACTAATGGCAATACTACAGAAGTATCTCTTGTTACAATTGAACTGGTTATGTTATTTGAGTTTAATTAGTTCAAAAACACATATGTGTTTGTTTGAGATAGCCGTATATGGGCAGGTTTTCAATTGTTTGTTAATTACACTAGGTTAGGTACTGATCTATAAATAAAAATATAAGATAGCAAATTACAAAATGAACAAAGGCATGAATAGATACTCTTTGAATGTTTATCAAGTAATTTACTTGGTTATTGGTTTGTGTTGTGTCTGGTGTAGTTCTGATGAGGATTCAGATGAGAGAGTGCTGATTGATAGTGTTAAGACAATTATGTTAGATAGTGATGCAAATGAGAACCTGTTAAATGGCGATGTTCAAAGAAACAAGTTAGATAGAGATAATTAAAAACCATTGGAGTGTATTGAAATAAGCAAAGCAATAGGCGAGTTGGAAATCTTAAAGAATAATCAAACAAAGCGAATATATCTAATAAAGCAGCGCCAACAGAACCTCGAGGAAGAAAAACAAGAGGCTTTTGAGAACATGAACTCAACCCAAAGTGATCGCGGCTTCTCTGGCAAATCAATAGAGAGACTCAGGCAGGAGGAGGCTTATTTGATATCTCTACTAGTCAGGGAAAAGCTGATACAGGAAAGTGTTGATATACTTATCGAGAAACTAAAAGACTGGATGTGCCGTTGTAATGGTTCTAGTTATAAGCTCGAGCAGCCACAAATAAATGCCATAGATGTGGTACTACCCCAAGTAAAACGGCTGAACGAAATTAAAAGGAACCTAACGGCCCTAGAAACCCAATTCGAGACATTAGAACAGCCCCTGGAAACAGAAATAACCACAATTGAAGCCTGCCTAATCGAAATAAGTCATGGTTACGATTCCAAGGCAATAAAAGAACAATTCAAAACAGTTATGGTAGAAGAACTAGATAAATTACTATCTAAGATTTATATGTCAGCACAATCTGATCTAACAAAACATCTCGATTCTATGGATGAAGAAGCATGCAGCTTAATGGAAAAAGGCAAATCAGCAGATGCTAACCCAATACAGATGTGTTTCTGCAACGCAGCCAGGCAAGGGGAAGAAGTGAGAGAAACAATGCGCGCCGTCACGAAGAAGCTGAAGATGCAGAATAATGCATCCGATAGAGAGACCGATTCCACGATATTTTTAAGTAGCAGTGATGGTAAACCAGACAGGTTAGAGCAAGGAAGTTGTGCAGGTGAGGCAGAACTCGATCCCAAAACGATTCTTCAGAGGTTTCTAGATAACAAAGATTTGTTCGAGTCAGATAATGAACCAGTCCACAAATATAAATGGTCGAACAATGTCGAAGTCAATAACACTGGCCAGTTTATACTATCTATCAATGTACGGAAAGATAAAAGTGTCTCTGGCGTATGGGAAGATCAGAGATGCACGAAAGTGACGGATGCAGTGTATTTGTTAAACGAACGCAATGAAAACAAACTGTTGCAGTCATCACCTGAGCGGAACGAAAGTGAACAGAGTAAGCTGTTGCTGTTATCGCTTGAGCGGAACGAAAATGAGCTGATGGTGTTACTAGATGCCTTAAAGAAGCTCAGTAAAATCATACTCGATGTAGAAAATGTCAGGATCTGGGCTTCTCGCCGCTTTACTGGTTGGCTGGCTCTATCCCAACTCTTAAGACTGTTTGAGAAATCAGATTTGAATAGTACGAAGAATCCTCTTAAGATTTATGTGCGTTCGGCCAAACAAGCTACTTCTTTAGAGGAGCGATCATTCGAGAATGTTAAGGAACAAGATCAGTTCCGAGACCAAATTACGAAGATCGACAAATCGCGATATATTCTTGATTTACATTTCCATCAACTCACATCAAATGTGCAGAAATTCATTTGGCCACTAGCAACCCATTTCTCAATATCTAATATAGATCTAATCCATCCCATTATAACCAAGATAGACTTTCTCGATGACGTCAACTGGATAGACCAATTCAACCTCAAAATACACTTAGACTACAAAGAGGATACTATTCTTAGTTTAGGAGCCAGAACCGCGAAAGATAAAGATCTTCCAACCTGTAAACACCTATCCATCACCACTAACTTTTCATATAAAGACCAAGATTCTCTCAACGGCTTGAAGGTTTATGTCGACAACCTTGATGGATACCTTCAACCCAAATCTTCTAATAAGGAAGATAATGTCTTAACTACAAAAGTAACCATGTCCTTTTCTGTTTTGATATCTTATGCAACCTTTGGCCTTAAACAGCCAGTGAATGTCGAGGAGTTGGTTGTACATGGTATGTTACACAAATACCCCATTGACATGATTGCTGCTCTTAGTGCCAAATTTGTTGATTCCTACTATAAATTCGCTGGGCTATCGGCAATGCATACTGCAAATAGCGAACAAATGATTGAGACCGGCAAACAACTAAGCCGCATTAACCCAGTTGCTATCTCCAGTACAGCCAAACCCCCATTCCGGGGTGTTATCTCAGCAAAGTCTGTGCGACTGTGGTTGCTCGAAAGTGACCAGAACGTTACCCAATACGAACTTTTAATGAATCTCTCTGGCCTAATAGTCACAGACTCCATACCTCCACCAAAATCTAACCCTTCACCAATTTCTAGCTAATAAAGACCTTTCTTGGCCATTAGTGTTTATTTAAGTCCTAGCTAAGCATATATATGATGTGGAAGAACGAAATTGCTCAAAAGATGATTAATTAGCATCAGTTGTTGAATTCCTCTAACTACTTCTTGTTGGGTATTGTTAAGGTCTTATTATATTTCATATTATCTGAATCTTGCTATGGATGTTTCAAACAGCATTGCGCCGGTTGCACATAGTAATAATCCTTGTTGAAGGTGTGCGAATATAATTGGCTTGAGCCCAACAGACTAGATAAGGATTCTTTTTATTACACATGCTATACTGAGAGCTATATGCTCTTCTGGGGCTATATTGCTGCAGTGCTTGTGAGGTCCCAGCCCTTTTTTGCTGGCAGTTACAGAGTATAGAAGTGGCCAACAATCAGCAAGGTTATCTTTATGGCCTGAAATTGGGTTAGTATTGGGTTGCCAGAGAGATATAAAGTAATGTCTTGTTTCCTGATGCCAGAACCTTAAAGGGTAAAGATAGGAAGGTTTAAGTGGTGTATGAAAATGAATTGAGTTGGTATTGTATTGAGTTGGTATTGTATTGGGTTAGATTAGTATTAGTGTTAGTATTGGGTTGGGTTCAATTTATTGATTATGAGGGCTAGTATTATGGCTAGTATTGGGTTAAGTTTGGGTTAAGTTTGGAGATGCTAGGAGGTGGCGAGAGGACAGAAGATCATGGGCGCCTGCGATGGAATCCTGAAGACTCTAGCCATAAACAAAGATAAAGCCTATTCGGATTAGTATTGGATTAGTATTGGATTAGTATTGGGATGAAAACCCGCTATCTTTATCATGGAATGTATTGGGCTAGGATTTGAGTGAAAAGGTCTAGGAATATCTTTGTGAAGGCGATTGGATCGCCATTGTGGTCCAACAAAAGTAGCTTGAAACACTCAATGATGTTTTGGAATGGGTAGTTTTTACTGCTGATTTCTTTATATGGGCTAGTATCGAAGAACCCTTTGTATGTTAGAAAGATATAGTTTATCATAGTAAGGAAGCCTTGACGGGTAGAGCTCTGCGGAATATTGACAATCTGAAGAGTAGGAGCATACACCGGCTGGTTAAGACCAAGAACGACATAAGAGAGGAAAACATCAAAGGATAGAGTTATTTTTGAAACAGTGACTGAATCATTGTTCTCTAGTGTTTTTGGTCGAAGATAGTTATCAAGGTTTAGGACAAAAATGTTTGGATAGGCGACTTGGGCTTGTTGGGCTGTGGAATTTATGGCCATAGACGACTCGGTTTTAATGCTTAAGTGGGAGTAAGCCGGTGTAGCATTCCCAGAATTATTTATGAGCGGCAGGTTGATAATAGTATTGGGTCGTTGAATGACTATAAAAAGACTATAGTTCTCCACCCAGTTGACATCGTTGAGAAAGTCTATCGTTTGAATTTGAGGAAGATTTAGGCTTAAATGGCCTACTGGGAGACGTGTTAGTAGCGGCCATATCAGCTCTTTTGTGTTCTTGGTAAGGCTCTGAATCATCACTTTAGCCCTATATTGAGACCAGTTGATTAGTGCACCGGTGTTGTCGCAATCGTCTAGTCGAACGATATTTACTTTCAATGGATTAAATGGCTTTTCGGGTATTGGGTTTATAATGATTTTGAAATCATATACAGCGGCGGCTATAGGACTCTCGAGAATTTGTAAGAGTTGAAATATGATGTGCTTGCTAAGGTCAATCCAAAAGTTCTCTAACACAATACTTGCTATCTGAATTTTGATCTTGCTGAACCTTTTTAAGATTGACAGCAAGTCTGTCAATGTGCGGTCAGGCCAATTACTAGGCAAGAGCAGCTCATAGGCGTCCTGTTTATTGTGGCTCGCTAGTTCATATTGTTTGGTCATAAGGGATCGCTTGACCGTGAAACACGATTTGAACACATTAGGGCTAGATGTGTTAGGCAGGCCATCGGGCACTAAAAATGCGGCAAGGAGTGCTTCCTCATCCTTATTGAGCATACCATCGCGATCACTGTGGGCTGGGTTCTGTTCTTCAAAATAGTTGAGATTAGGAGGTGTTTGGTTGGAGCTGGTATCTCTTTCGCCATTAATTTTGTTGTTGTAGGCAAACTTCGTATCTGTGGCCGGGTTGGCGGTGCTAAAGCAGCGGTAATTGGAATACAAGGTAAGATTGTTTACACCCGGCAAAACTATAGAGGCAACTTTTGCTTCCAGCACTTGTTGCTTGTATTTGATTATTTCATCTACTAGTTGGGCTGTTGACATTGCAGCTGCTGCTACTTTGAATCTATTAACGAGTTCATTCAGATTCTCCGCGATTAACAACCCCATTATCTCTTCATCAACTTTCTTGGCCTGATCCTTTAGAGCATTGGCTTGTTGTGGCTCGGGCCGTACAATTGAGTTGGGTGGCGCAATCGGCAGTTCTATTTGCCCGGTCGTATCCTTTTGTGTCTCTTGAGAGCTTGTTGCCAATGGCATTGATATTGCTTGGTAGCGGCTAATTTTCTCCATTAATTGGCGTGTGGTACTATTTATGACTAACTTTCCTGGAGCTTGCTGAGCTTGTGCTAGTTTCTGCTGTAGCATTACCAGATCTTCCTCCAATTTGAGGGCCTGATTGAATGCTTGTACGGCTTGGGCTAGCATTTGGTGACACTGTTCCAATAGTCGGTCTGCCCGTTCGGTAGTTGAGGGTTTTGGCAGGTTCTTAATCTTCATGCGCACTATTAGAAGTTCTAGGCATCTCTTTAGCTTGATATAGTTTAGCTGTGCTACTTTTTGCACTTGCTTGCCGTGTAAGTCGCCCAACAACATGATGAATTCGTTTTCTGACATATAGTGGGATGAAGGTTCAATCGCAGTTGCATTAGCACTACACCACACAAAACCTAAGCCAACAATCAAGCAAGCCCATTGATAAACATTCAACGAGTATCCATTTAGTCTCTTATTCATTTTACAGTTTGCTATCTTATGTTTTTATTTATAACCCAATCTATGATATAGTATTATTGGGTTGGTATTGGATTGGTGTTGGGTTAGTGTCGTTTCCCGGGGAAGAGATAGTACCTTTCAACCAAACATACTCAACTAAAGACTGATTGTGAAGTGGTTGGTATTGGGTTGGTATAGGTTAAGTTTTCGGTATTGTACAACATCTTGAGATAATTCGCCAACTCAGAGTATAAATACTAATCTGAGGTTGTAATTTCTAATTCGAGATTTAATCGCACTCGCAGCAATCAGTACCTAGCCGATAAGTATTACAAAACTATGCCCCTGTAGATACCTTACTTTAAAGTGGTGAACACTCTGAACACTACACTAACCCAATACATACAGATGTCTTTTCAACCAAGATTTCCGGTATGTTAGATTATTTATCTGTGCCCACGGCTAGTTTCAGCTGTTCATCCATCGACCCATCCAACGAAGCACCAAGTGACAAGCAAGTCTATTTCTACACCATCCATAAAGTACTAACCCAATAATGCCAACTCATCGATCTCTAAAAAGAAGCGCCCAATTCAACCCAACCACACCAAGCCTACACCATTTGCAGCCAAGCCTAATAAACCAATTGGGTTAGTATTAAGTCCGGTTTCTTGTCTAACTTAGGCCAGGCCAAGCAACAATATCTCTAGAAGTTCCAGCAGCACCATGATTAATCATCCATCAACACCAACCCAAAACCAACCTTTTGTTTCAACAAGTATACAGAATAAAAGCACCATCAGTTCTTATCTACTTAGCACCATCCAATTGGGTTAGTATTGGGTTAGATTGGATTAAGATTAGATTAGATTAGATTGAATTAAGATTAGATTTAGATTAAAAGACACAATCTAATATCAACTTAATATAAACCCAAATCAACCTAACACTAACTTGATCAAATCAAATCACAACACAACTTAACTCGAATCAAATCATAACACAACTTAACGCAAATCATAACCAAATCAAATCATAACACAACTTAACCCAAATCAACATAACACTAACACAACTTAATCAAAACTTAATGGTATTTATGTATTTATCAACCTAGGAAATACATCCTAGATAATCATCATTAACCGTACCAATACCAAAGATCTTACTCGGTTCAACCTTCACTCCAATAATCCGCAAACGCACCAATGATCCCCGCACAATAGCCGGCCCACCATCGTTTGACAAAATACTCGAATCATCACCCGCCTCCGTAAACTGCCCCGGAATCTGGTACATCGAAACAAACACACTAAAAGGCCCCACAAAGCAAAACAGCCCCATCTTATTTATCTCATGCACCACCGCATTCACTACCTCTCCCTTACCCGGTAACAAAGTCAAAGCCGAATACTCAGCCAGAAATGTAGCACTACCCGTCTCATCCTCAATTACCCCAGCCGTCAACGAATCCAACGAAAGTAAACATAAGACATATCCCGAATCAGCCGTACATTTACCCTCCACTTCCGCCACTAACTTACGTTGCACTACCTCCTCCACCTTCTTACCCAAATACTTAGGTGCTAAAACAACCCGCTCTTGCATCTGCCGGATATAGAACATGAAATCTAGATAAAATGCAAAAACAAGGAGAAGAGGAGAAGAGAAAGGAGATGACGTATTTAAGTCCAGAACAAAAATTTTCGGATGTTTAGCAGAGAATCCAATCCAAATTGCTCAAGCCATAAAAGTCTTCATGGCGTACTACGTAGTTTTTACAAGAAACCCGAGAGAAAGAAGTCTGGACCCACTCGTGAAACCGCGAACATTATAGAGGATGCTTTTAAACCGATCAAGTGTACAACTCCCAGTGTTTGGAAGAGTAGTAGTAAAAGTCTATTGGATCAGATAGACGAAGACCATCCATCGGAAAAAAGGAGTACGGAGTATGCTTTTGAAGGGGGTAAGGCCAAAGAGAAACTATCTCCCATCGGTCAAGGCGTCTCTGAGAAGAGTAAGACCCGATTTATCACTCTAAGCAATGCTTTAAAGACTGAAGCAGCTACTATTCCAGGTCCGATCTTAGCTGAGAATAAGAAGCACCAGTTCTTAGAGGAGATGCAAGGGTTTGCCCGTAAAAGAGGCATAGTTACTACAAGTACTAATCTTATCTGTGCAATCTCTAAGGATCAGGAGGGCAGTCGGTTTATTCAGAAGAAGTTAGATAGTGCTTCGGCTGAGGAGATTGAGTTGACATTCCAGGAGATCAAGAAATGGATTGGTGAGTTGATTGTAGATTTATTTGGTAATTATGTAGTGCAGAAGTTCTTAGAGATAGGAACAGCTGCTCAACAACTGGAGATTTTAGCTGCGATGGAACCGATGATTGTTTCTTTAGCTCTGCACATGTACGGCTGTCGGGTTCTGCAGAAGGCATTAGAGTGCAAAACTATCAACCGTAAGATAGTGGAGGGAATTAAAGGACATGTAATTGAGTTAGTTTGTGACCAGAACGGGAATCATGTTGTGCAGAAGTGTGTGGAATGTGTTGATTCTGATTTTGTTATTAAGGAGTTTGAACAGGATGCAGTGAGTTTAAGCAGGCATCGGTATGGATGCCGGGTGATTCAACGGATTTTTGAGAACAGTCGGCAGTGTAGTGCGGCAGTAGATAAGATTATTCAAAATGCCCGGGTTTTAGTAGAGGATCAGTATGGCAACTATGTGATTCAGCATATTTTAGAGCGGGGTACAGAGCAGCACAAGCGCCGGATCATTGCTGATTTATCTGATAAGATTGCCGAGTACAGTACGCATAAGTTTGCTTCTAATGTAATGGAGAAGTGTGTTCTGTGTGGGACAGCTGAGAACCGGAAGAAAATGTTACAGCAACTGATGCATCCCCAAGCGCCCTTGCCACAAACTACTCTCATTACTATTTCTTGTGATAAGTTTGGGAATTATGTAGTGCAGCGTTTACTGGACGTTTTGACCGGTCGTGATAAGGATCTTCTTTATGCCCATTTAAGAGCTCACTTGCCAGAACTCAAGAAGAGTTCGTATGCCAAGTGTATTGTAGCCAAACTAGCCCAAAATCCAACACCGATCACTACTACCAATCCATCTACCACTACCACTACCAACTCAACGACTACTTCTCAATAGAGGTGGGAGTTAGTTTGTGTGAGGAGGGTTAGTTTGTGTGAGGAGGGTTGTAATTGGGCTAAGTTGTCTTATATAGTAATTAGATTGGATTGAGATAAGGTAAAGTATGAGTAAAGTAGAGATAAGTTTAGTTTAGTTTAGTATTGTGTTTAGTATTGTGTTTAGTATTGTATTGTGTTTAGTTGTGTTTAGTATTGTATTTGGTTGTATTTTGAGATCTTAATGTAGTGTTCATGGTAGAATTAGTTCTTGTAACTAATTGTCGTGTCGTTACACAACTACTACTTCTTTCTCACACTAGTTTGTTTATTTATTGCATACGTATTGGTGTTGGTATTGGGTTAGTAGAGAATTCGAGTGGTATCACATTTTAAGAGGTACTTAGAGATTATCACAATTTGAGTATGACGTCATATCATCGTCTATATTCAATAAATGGTCAAGTATGTCGTATCGAGGAATGTCATTGATGGAATTTGTACTAGTCATAGGAACTATTCCTTATTGAACACCATATTAGTGCTAACTTAAGTAGTGATATGCCTGGCTAGTATATAGTCATGGATTTATTAAGTGTGTATGACGATATGTGTAAAGATGACGTCATATTAAGTTAGATATACTAAAACCCAATTAGTTAAATTAGGTTAGTAGTGGTAATGATGATGTGTTGGTAAAGTATTGGGAATAGTAAGGTGATGGTAATGGTAAGGTGATGGTAGTACTAAGTAGTGATCAGGTTGACCAAGTGGAAACTAAGTACTGATCGTATGACTGCACTACAATTACCTAACCTAATAAAATCACAATACTAATACAATATGATGTAATCCCAAAAAATCAAAAAACATCAAAATTTTTTGGCACGAAAATTCAGAATTTTAACTTTACTTTAATTTTTAGTCTAAATTTCCTAAAAAGGCAACAATTTTTTGCACGAAAATTCCGAATTTCAAAGACCAACCAAAATTATCAAAATCCACCAATTATCAAAATCCTCCCCCCAATGAGTTAAACCAACTTATCAAACCAAATCAATCTGTTATAACATCCACAGACCACCAACTTCATACTAACTTCATACCAACTCAATACCCAATCCAAACTCAATTCAACCCTTACGTAACCCAATCCAAACTCAATCCAATCCAATACCAATCCAAACTCAATAGGATATTAAGAAATAAGGAGGACACCTCCAAGAGAAATATTCGCTAGGAAGCACTGATTAGCCAGTCCGAGTCCAAGAACAACCAAGAAAGCCGGTCTTACCACCCAAATACTAAACCAACCGCGTACTCCTAGCCAAGTAAGTTACCAAAACAAACTAAATATTATTTATAACTCGTACTATTCTTACGTTTACCATTGTTTTTACTCGGCTCATCCAACATCTTAACAGTATAACCCTCAGGAATCACAGGAATCGGTAAAGACTCAATAGAAGGCGCCCGATTAAAGGAAGATCCAGCATATTTAGCTTCTTTCTTCTTGGATATCGGCATGCTATTTATTTTTTTAATTACGTACCCTGGGCAAATGACTGAGAAAGTAAAGATAAGCATTGAGCAACAAAAGAAGAAGAATTCTAAAGTTCTAAAGTTTCAAGGAATCGGAAAGCACATAGATGTGCTTAGAGAGTGCAATTCAAAGATCAAATCCATTGAAGAACGTATAGTTCAAGATAAGGAAAGAATTGAAAGTCGGATTGAAGAGTTCCGGAAGCAAACGGGACAAAAAGAACTCTTTGATAGTAAAGATGAAGCTCAAAAAGCCATTGATCTCTTAAGTAAGGAAAAGAGTGCCATGACTGAAGAACTCAAAAGAACAAGTCAAGATCTGAGAGCTTTAATGACGGCCGTAGGAGAGGAGAAGAAGCGATTGAACATGAAGAGTGCGACTGAGTTAAGGAACAAGAAAGAGCAAATCAAAAACAGGATTCGAGATAAGCCGCACAGTTCCAAAGAAGCGGCTGAAATGTGTTCTGAACTATCAAGGATAGAGAAGCTAATCAGTATGCAAGATATGTTCAAGGAAAAGGACGAGAAGATCATGGAGATGGAAAAGGCTAAGAAAGCACAAGAGTTTGCCCTATCTATTAAGAGACAAGAGTTAGAACATCAGCAGAAGAAGCTTAATGAAGTAAGTGCTAAGATAGGTAAGGTAAAGAAAACGGCTTATCCTGAAGATATCAAGCGATTACAAGAAGAAGTTAAAGTGCTTATTGAAGAGAAGCGCGTCTTATTGGAAGCTAAACGGGCCGAACATGAAGTTATGGTAGCTAAGGCGGCTGAGTATGAAGTTAAGGCGGCTGAGATAGAAAAGGCGCGGGCGCATAAGGCGGCTTTGGAGGAGCAGGAGAAGCAGATTGAGAGTTTGTTGTTGGCTCGGGATGAGTTGGAGACTGAGTTAGCTAGTAATCCTAGTGGGTCTTTACGGACTTTACGTACGGTTTTACCAGGGTACAAGTTACAACGAACGAGTCGTGGGTGTGCTTTGGCTTTGCCTTTATCAGTAGTTAGTCAGTTGGGCCAGTTTAACATTACAATTCCTAAATCGGCCGTTGAGATTGATGCGGTTTTGGCCGAGATTGATACGGCTATTGTGCGGGAGGATGGGAAGTTTGAAGCGAAGAAGTCGAGTTTGATGGCGCAGTTACAGGACTTGTCCGGGCGGATTGCTAAGGAACGCCAGAAGCACGGGGAGTTGCCAAGACCAGTCTTCCCACGGGCGCAAGGATAAGTTAGTATTGAGTTAGGTTTAGTTAAGTTGGGTTAAGTTGAGTTAAGTACTGCCTGAGTTGAGTACCGAGAAGGGCTCGTAGTGCAGATAATAAATCAGCGTCTGGTATTAGTATATTGAGTTGGTGTTTGGATTGAGTTGAGTTGAGTTAAGTTAGGTTAGGTTAGGTTAATGTTGAGTTGGTGTTGAGTTGGGTTAAATTGGTGTGGTGTGGTATTGGTGTTTTGATAACATTGAGTTAGCATTTTGATAACATTGAATTGGTATTTTGATAATATTGAGTTAGTATTTTGATAACATTGAATTGGTATTTTGATAACATTGAGTTAGTATTTTGATAACATCGAATTAGTATTTAGATAACATTGAGCTAAGTTGATGTGGTAATGAGTTGGTATTTTGATAGGATAGGATAAGATTAGATGGGTTGGATTAATATGATATTAAATTATGATTGTATTGGGTTAGTATGGTGTATGTTGAGTTGATATATGGTGAAATAATGGGACTTTGTTTATTGGAGTGGTGATGTGGTGATGTGGTGGAGATCTAAATTGGGGTTTAATTGTATGAGTGGCCGAGGAAACCGGCGCCGGTGAGTTCCCAGCTGGCCCGGAAGATGTGATTATAGAGGGTGGACGTGAATGTTTGGGTGATTATTGGCTCGCTGGAGATGAATAAAAGGGTGGGCCGGGTTTCTTGGCCGTGGTAGTACCTTAGAATATTGATGGCACTTTCGAATGAGAGAGGGTTGGGGTTAGAGATGCCGTAGGTTGGGCAGTTGAAGTTGTCTGGAGTGGGTTTCTCGTTGGAATGGCGGGGTGGCCGGCGGTTAATGTTAATTATGCCATGGGGTTTTTTGTTGGCGGGTGGGATGTAGTTGTACGTTATTCCAGCTAAGTAGAGGTCGATGTTGAAGGGATGAAGGTAAGAAAGAAGACGGCTTTTTTGGAAGGCTGATCGGCATTTTGAGTTGCTGATTAGAGTATGGATAGCTAGATCTTTGAATAATTTGCTTCGAGTGGCTTTGATTTGGGAGTTAGAAGGTATGTGTTTCTTGGAAGTAGGTTCAACATTGGCTTGGCCATCGGTTTGGAGGACTAGAAGGAGATTGGCGAAGTATTTATGCTGGCCCGTGTTTTTTAAGGAGTTGCTGATTAATAGAGTGAAGTTTTCAATGAATATCTTGTATGGTCCAGCTGGTTGGGAGAGCCGATCGATGTTCTGACCATTTTCAAAACCGACAAAGAGCATAGCAATGTTTAGGATTTGGTAGATGGTTAGCTTTTTTGGCGCACGTGAGCTTGAAACGTAATTGGGGCTAAAGAGTTCGTACATTAACATGGCTGCATCTGTAGTGTGGGATATGTACATGCTCAGGCTAGGGAAGAGAAAGTCGTAGAATGTACGGACTTTGAACTCGGCACAGAAAAGGCTGGAGCGAGTTACTGGGTTGTCACTGGAATAACCTGGGAAAGTTTCGTAATGGGCCTTAACTCGAGCGTAGTAGTTCTTTTCCTGCTCGTGATCGTCAAGAACTTCGACTTGCGTGTTTATATCAAGGAGATTGTTTAGCTCAGTGGCCCAGGCAAAATCTAGGGCAACCAGGTGGTGTAGCCCTGGTGGAGTTCCATAAGCGGGCTGAGAAACTAGAGTGGCCGAAGTTTCAGACTTAGCACCGGCAATCAACTGGAAGAATAGTCCTAATCCTATCAAGAATATTTGAAGGTTTATAAGTTTGCCCAAAGTCATATATTGATTAAATTTTGACACATATTTTCCTTATAAGGCAAGCCAACGACTAACAATAAATTGAATTATGTTAAGTTAGATTGAGTTGTGTTGGGTTGAGTTGAGTTGGTTTAGTGTAGTGTTTGTACTAATCACACATCTTAATGAGATTCTCAAATCATTTCTACTTTTAGACGAGTAAGTACAGATAATGTAGATATTTATTCCTTACTACTTTAAACAACTTAATAGTAACTAAACCAACTCGATTAGAGTATAAATATACGACGAAGATTGATAAGAGACTCTCTATGGCATACCTGGATTCCAGGAAGGACTTACAGAAGACGATACCCAATCTAGAAACTGTCCAGACTCATATACCAACCCAATACCAACTCAATTTATCTCTCGTGGAGTACGTTTGGTTGAGAAGTCTTTATCCTCCCCTAGGACACAACAATAACTAAATACAATACCAACTCAATACAATGCCAACTCAATAGAATGCCAACCCAATACAATATCAACCCAATACAATACCAACCAAATACTAACCCAATTATAACTTAAACACTTTATTGTTCTTCTTGGAGCATATGCTGGATAGTACTGATACTAACCATTTGCATGTTTCTTTTGATAGTAGCTTTAAAGATGCCTTCGGGAACTGGACATTCCGCGAGTTTGAAGAGAATTTGTGTCTTTTGATCCGGCTCAATGTGCTTGTTAGTGATATAAGCATGATGCCCAATCTCTACCACGGCCGAAGCCGCATGGAAGAGTACGGGAAAGCCATGAATAAAGAAGTGATCAAGTATTTCAGCATAAATAGGCGGTGGAAGACGTGAGAAAAGAGTTAAATACCAACCAGCCGCATAATCATGCGAATTGTTCGAGATTTGTTGAATACTCTTACGCACACTCTCAGGCAAAGTTAAGTTAAGCACACGTGCATGCACACTAAGTACTTTAGAAATCAAAGATAAGTTCTTATCAAATAGTCTTTCTATACCATTAACTTGAATCGTGCGAGCTAAGATAGAAAAAGACTCTTCCGGCGAGTAGAACTGTAACAGAAAGGCGGCATAACACGACAGGCCTTGGCAGTACTCAATTACTCGGTTGTGCTGAGCAAAGGCTACAAGCACATCCTTTAGTTCTTGCTTACGTAAAACTGGATTGTATTCCCGGGCCTCACGTTCTAATGAACTTCCTAAGAACCTTCTTTCTTTAAATACTGATCGCTCAATATCTACTTGGATATTTTGCAATGCTTCTGGTGTAATTTCACTATCTTTTAAGAGATAAAAATTGGCCTCTATCGGTCTATAGATAAGTTCTTTCCATTTCTCTGCTCTGCCTGCTCCTGGTATCTCTTGCATACCCAAACAATGACATATCGTTTCAGCTATTGCAAAATTTTGAAATGACAACCCAAACTCAGCAGTTTCCCCAATATCGTGTGAAAGATATCAAATTAGCCGAAATCGGAGAAGAAGCCATCCTGTTTGCCAAAAACGAAATGCCCGGAATGAAGCAATTATTGCAAAGATATGGTGATTCTAAGCCATTACAAGGCGCTCGAATTTCGGGATGTTTGCATATGACTGTGCAAACGGCCGTATTAGTTGAGTTATTAGTTAGTTTAGGTGCGGATGTTGCTTGGTGTTCATCTAATGTTTTAAGTACTGAAGATAAGGCTGCTGCAGCATTAGCCAAGCGTGGTATTTCAGTTTATGCTTGGAAAGGTGAAACAGTAGCTGAGTACCAATGGTGCTTAGAAGCTGTTCTGTCTAAATGGCCAGAAGGTCCTAACTTGATCGTAGATGATGGAGGAGACTTAACTACTATGCTGCACAGTACGCATACGCACTTACTACCCGGTATTATTGGCCAGACGGAGCAAACGACTACGGGCACACACATTCTGCAGAAGATGATGGCTGAAGAGCGATTGCAAATTCCGGCTATTTGCATTAATGAAAGTGTGATGAAGAGTAAGTTTGATAATATCTATGGATGTCGTGAGTCTTTGATTGATGGAATTAAGAGGGCTACAGATGCTATGATTGCTGGTAAGCGAGTGCATATTTGTGGGTATGGTGATGTCGGGAAAGGATGTGCCCAAGCGATGTCTCGTATGGGAGCTATCGTTACTATTTCGGAAGCAGATCCTATCTGTGCTATGCAAGCAGTTATGGAAGGGTACCAAATCCGAACTGTGACTGAAGTTGCACCAACTACCGATATTTGGGTGACTGCCACCGGAAACAAAGATGTTATCTCAACTGCTGATATTATGCGGATGAAGGATTTAGCCATTCTTTCTAACATTGGTCACTTTAACGTCGAATTTGATACGAATTGGATTTACGCCCAGGCCACCAAGGTCATTCCCATGGGAAACAATGCCCAGCGTATTATTCTTCCAAATGGCCGTTCAATAGTCCTACTAGCTGAAGGCCGGTTGGTCAATTTAGGATGTGCTACCGGCCATTCCAGTCTAGTTATGAGCACGAGTTTTTGTTGCCAGGCCTTAGCTGTACTACGACTCTTCACTAAGTTCACTATTGATTCTACGCGAGCCCGTGGCCAAGTCCTTTTCCTGAGCAAGACCGAAGACGAAGAGATTGCCCGTATTCATCTTGAAGGTCTCGGACATACACTTACTCAACTCACTTCCGACCAAGCCGCCTATCTTGGTATTTCCGCCACCGGCCCCTTCAAGCCCGAAGCCTATCGCTACTAGACTAACTATTAAATTGGTTTAAGCTATTTCTTATTTACACATTCAGTTATATTACGTTATGTTACGTTATGTATGTTATGTATGTTGAGTTGAGTTGGGTTACGTTATGTTAGTTTGCTCCACTCTACTTCACTCTACTTCATTTCATTCCCAATACTAACTCAATAGTAAGCCAACTCAATACCAACTCAATACTAACTCAATACCAACTCAATCTCAGACTAATTACTAAACCCCAGACACTTAATTGAATTACATTACTATGTGACATTTATTACACTTTGCATTAAGTTGAGTTAAGTATTGAATTGAGTTAAGTTAAGTTGAGTTAAGTATTGAATTGAGTTAGTACACATCCAAACCCAACTAACCTAAACCAAACTTAACTAAACTTAACTTAACTTAATATGTTAAATTGAAAATTCTAATTATTCAACTTATTTTCCTTTTTAGGAAATTATTTGTGGACAGCAAACTTACTCCTACTTTGTAAATATTCCACCTCTAAACCCACCTAACCATCCAATCCCAACCCCTAAAAACCCACCAATCACCCCCAGCCATCACTAATTCCTTGAATAGACCCCTCACTAGTCCCTTTAGACCCAATCCTAACCCAATCTTAACCCAATCTACACGATAACTGGCAGGTTACATCACTGTCTAACTATATTTACGTCTTTTTTTATTTGTTGATAAAGCGTTCATATGGCTGAACATAATAAACAGTCAAAAGAGATGGAGAACTCAATGGAAAATCAAGATGAGTCACTTCAGAACATGCAGATAAAAGGCCCATGGACTCGTGAGGAAGATGAGAAGTTAAGAGTCCTTGTTGGAGCCTTTGGACCCAAAAGATGGACCTATATTGCTAAGAAGTTAGGCGGACGTATCGGAAAACAGTGTCGTGAACGATGGCACAACCATTTAGACCCAAGTATTGTTAAAACTCCTTTTACTTATGAGGAAGACCAGCTTATTTTAATGTTACATAGCCGGTATGGCAACAAATGGTCTGATATTGCTAAGCATCTACCCGGTCGAACGGATAATGCTATCAAGAACCATTGGAACAGTAGTATGCAAAAGAAGGCGGTTAAAAACAAAAGATCAAACAGTGTTTCTGGGGACTTCATTTCAGCGCACTTCCCAGAAAGAGAGAGAAGGTTGTTCATTCAAGAAGATCCATCACGGGAGAAGGATAAGTGGACTAGAAGAAGAACTGCTTCAGTTTGTGTTTCTTCTCAGGTGAATGACCATTTACTAAGTGCTCTGGCTTATACGGCCTATAATGAGCTTTCCAAAACCAAGCAAATGTACTATAACGATGGAGGTGACCAGAAACGAAAATGGAACATTCCTCTTCAGACCATACAGAGACAGACTCCAGAAAAGCCGGCTAAAGGTCCTTCTGAAGAGGACGATGTCATGGCCGGTTTGATGTTGCTGTCTTTGGAACGAGCCATCAAATGAGCCCTCTACCCTGTGATCCTGCCCATTTGTGATACTAACTTCGATTTATGATACTATCTTCGATATTAGTGCGTTTTTGGCTATGTGTTTAAATAAAGAGCGACTGCTATCTGAATGAGTTATTAAGTTATGTATTGAGTTGGTATTTAGTTGGTATTGGATTGAGTTATCTATTGTATTGAGTTGGTATTTAGTTGGTATTGGATTGAGTTATCTATTGTATTGAGTTGGTATTTAGTTGGTATTGGATTGAGTTATCTATTGTATTGAGTTGGTATTGGGGTTGAGTTAGTATTAAGGTTAAGTTATGCATTGTATTAAGTTGTATTAAGTTATGTATTAAGTTGTGCTAAGCTGTGTATTGATATTGAGTTGTATTAAGTTGATATTAAGTTGCATTAAGTTGTACTGTATGGAGTACTATCATTATCTGGTAGTTTGTTTATCATAAACTTATCATAAACGTATTATAAACTTATCAAGTTATAACTTTGTGTAACTTTATTGTAACATAAGACCCCACACCACTTAATACATAACTTAACCCAACTCAATGCTAACTCAACTACCAACTCAATCTTAAACTAACTCAACTACCAACTCAATACATCACATAACCCAAATACTAACGCGATGTTTGTTTTTTTACATGAATATCCGAAAACTCTTCGACCAGATTCAGCGCCGAGATGCTTTTAAAGCCTTTTGGGCCTATCCGGAAACAAAAAACCTCTCTATGATTTCTGATAGGTTGGGATACATTAAGTCTGCTAAAGAACTTAAGAATGCAATAGCCCAAGTCTGTGCGCTAGTCTTTGAGAAGAATGAAGAGGGTAGCTTTCTCTATACTGAAGCTCAGAACCTTTTGAAATTCGCTGAGAATTTGATTGATAAAGCTTTAGTTACTGCCAGTGTAACTGGTACTTATATAGATCATTCTGGGACGAAAGAAGAGAAAGATAGCAATAAGTTTGTTCTTTGGGAGAATGGCGTCATTGATAAATTATGCCAGCGCTACCATGAAAGTCTTATTGAGTTTACCAAAGACCTTTCCGTAACTGAAATACAAGAACACGTTCGTATTGTCCTCTTTGGAGGCAGCACAACCACTCAAATAAGTCCATAACCCAGCAGTAACCCAATCGGTTATTATTTGAGTTGCTTTTTGATTGATAGCTACTAATTGCTAATTACTTTGATATTAAATTACTATTCCCATTTATTTGCTACTATCTATTGGTATTTAGTTAAGTTAAGTTAAGTTTAGATTGGGTTAGATTGGGTTAAGTTGGGTTAGAGTGGTGTTTTTACCATTTCCTGCAGATCTTAATGAGATTCTCAAATCATTTCTACTTTTAGGCGAGTAAGTACAGATAATGTAGATATTTATTCCTTACTACATTAGATATGCTAATACTAACTAAACCAACTCGATTAGAGTATAAATATACGACGAAGATTGATAAGAGACTCTCTATAGCATACATGAAGGACTTACAGAAGACTATATCAGATCTAGAAACGACACAGAATCGTATACTAACGCGTATACTAATCTCTCGTTGTTTATATTTGAATAAGAAGCCGTTATCCTCCCCTGGGGCACAACACTAACACTAACTTAATCGAACACTAACTTAACCCAACTTAACCAAAATGAAATATTAAATGATCATAGACTCTTTCCAAATTATGGTAAGCTTAGCTTCTTGTTTTTAGATTTAAAATAACACAGCTCTTAATAATCTATCTAGTAGATAGAGTTTATGTTAAATAACAATATGGATTAAGATTGATTTATTCCGAATAGTTGGATTAGTTGGATTGGTTGGATTAGTTGGGCTGTGGGATGAACTTTAGATAGCGGGAGACCTTCTCAATTAAAGAACCAGTAT